GCAGACTCCCATTCCTCTTCACCTTCGGTCTTGACTCAAAGTAGATTCCCATTCTTCTGCTGCACGAGCACAATGCCAAAAGTCAACTCCTCTCCTTCTCCTTCGCAAGGCTCAACAACCCTAATAGTGGCATGTAAAGTTTGATGCTTCCTTGCGTTACTTCTGCTTCTCTTGCAAAGACAACACATCTTCAGTTGTGGCTCGCTCCAAGGGTCTTTGACGTCGCCTCCTCCCTCTCCTTCCTCCTTTTTGGCTGGGGCACAAAGTTGTACAGTAACCACAATTTCTTCATCTTTCCTTCTTCTATGTGGCTTCCTTTACTCTTTTGCTCGTTATGCTTTGATTTGTTCGAATGAGGGATGCGACAAATTTGTTATAACTGAAGGGATGCATATCCTAAAACTGTCAGCAATTTGTTTTTAATTATTTTATCTTTTATTAAAACTTTAGTTATTAAAATATCTCCTCATAAAAATTTCATCCTCGAAATTTGAAAATAATCATGAAAGTAAACCTACCTCAAGAGAAAAGTTGTGCATATTTTTTTTGCATCTCAGAGATCTTCTCTCAAGTAGCATCCTTCTTCAACCCGTGGTTCCATAAAATTCTCACAAAAGGAATCTCTTTGTTCCACAGCTTCTTCACATCATACTCCAGAATCCTTTTAGGCTCTTCAACATAAGTCAGATCAGATTGAATATCAACTGAATCTACTATCACTTTATTAGCTTTATCTGCAATTTACTTCCTCAATGAAGTAATTTGGAAAAAATTATGCACTCCATGCATATGTGCTGATAAAGCCAATTTGTGAGCCACATTCTCAGTCCTTTCTATAATGTCATAAAGACCCACATATTTGGGCTCAATTTTCCTACCTTCTCAGATCATTGCACACCTTTCGAAGAACTAATCTTGATGAAAATAAACTCAACAAGTATGTGCTTGGCATCATAGTATTTCATCCGTCTATCTTGCACTGCCCTCAGTCTGTCTCTGATCAATCTATTCTTCTTAGTAACATCATCAACCAAATCAGCTCCAATGATTTTTCTTTCACCTTTTTTTAGCTCAGTATAGATGTGTCCTGCACTTCCTTCTATACAAGGCTTCATATGGAGCCATCCCAATGCTAGCCCGGTAACTGTTTTTATAAGCAAACTCTACTAAAGGTATATATGATTCCTAACCTCCACCAAAGTCTAGAGCACATAACTTTAGTAGATTCTCTAAGGTCTGAATAGTCCTGATTGACCATCTGTCTACGGGTGAAATGTTGTACTGAAAGTCAGTCGAGTACCCAAAGCTTCTTGAACCTTCTTCCACAATCTGGAAATAAATCTGTCATCTCTATCAGAGACAATAGACTTTGACACTTCTTGCAATTTCACAATTTAATCCACGTATTATTTGGTTAGCTTCTCAACTGAATTTGTCTGTCTAATAGGCAAGAAATGACCCGATGTGGTCGGTCTATCAACAATTACACATATAGCATCATGACCCTGACAAGATTTACGTAAACCAATCACAAAATCCATCGCAATTTTCTCCCATTTTCACTCTGGAATCGGTAAAAGCTACAACTGACCTCTATGACGCTGATGCTCAGCGTTCACAAACTAACATGACAGACACTTGGTTACAAATTCTGTCACACTTCTCTTTAATCTTAACCGCCAAAAAGCTCCATTGATATCCTGATACATTTTATTGCTCTCTGGGTGAATAGAATATCCGGATAGATATGCTTCCTCCAGAATTTCCTTCCTCAGATCCTCAACATCCGAAATATAAACCATGTCTTGATACCTCAATAGACCATCATGATCTATCACATATCTCTCCAAATTGACTGCCAGAACCTGTTCCAAAATTTTCTGAATACTGTTATCTTTGGCCAAAGAATCTCCAATTCTCTCCTGTAAAGTTGGTTGCACCATCAACAGATATAACTGAATCATACTATCATCATCATAATCAATTGTAGTCAGCCTCAACCTCTTCAGATCATTAATTAACTGTTGTTGTTGGGTAAATAAATAATTTAAATTATCAGAAGCTTTTCTAGTCAATGCATCAACAACAACATTTGCCTTCCCAAATGATACTGAATATCTAAATCATAATCTTAACTAAATTTCGGCTATCTCATCTGCCTCAGGTTCAACTCTTTTTGAGTGAAGACATTTCAAACTTTGGTGGTCAGTAGAAACTTCACATGTAACTCCATACAGTTAATGCCTCTAGATCTTAAGTGCAAATACAACTGCAACAAGTTCCAAGTCATGCGTAGGATAGTTTTTTTAGTGATGCTTCAATCGTTGTAATACATATACAATGACCCTATCATGCTGCATAAGTACACAGTCCAAACCCCTCAAAGATGCATTGCTGAAAATCTGGAATCCATCAGAACCAGAAGGAATGACCAAATCTGAAGCAGACATTAAACAGGTCTTCAACTTTTGAAAAGTCTCCTCACAAAGATCAGACCAGTCAAACTTCACCGTCTTTTGAGTTAACATTGATAGTAACATAACAATCTGTGAAAATTTCTCAGCAAATCACATGTAATAACCAATCAGACCTAGAAAACTCATTACCTCAATAACAATAGTAGGTCTTGGCCAATCTGCAATCGCCTTCACCTTGTTCTGATTCACAGATATGTCGTCTTCGCTGATAATGTGCCCAAAAAATGTCACACTTTTAAGCCAAAATTTACATTTAGAAAAATTGTCATAAATTGTATTCTTCTTCAAAACCTATAACACAACATGTAAATGATCTGCATGAGTGACTTCATCCCTCGATTATACTAGAATATCACCTATAAAGACAATTACAACTGTGTCCAAGAACCGCCTAAAGAACAGGTCTATGAAATCTGCTGAAGCATTTGTCAGTTCAAACGACATCACTTCGAATTCATGGTGCCCATATCTGGTTGTGAAAGTGGTATTCTCTATTTCTTATTCTTTAATCCTCAACTGATGATAGTCCGACCTCAGATCAATCTTTGAAACTACTGAAGCCCCTTCCAACTGATCAAATTAATCGTCAATCCTCGGTAGTAGATATTTATTTTTAACTGTGAGTTTATTCAACTCATTGTAGTCAATACACAGCTTGAAGCTCTCATCCTTCTTCTTCACAAATAACACTGGAGCTCCCCAAGCTGAGGTGTTAGATTTGATTTGTCACTTATCTAGTAACTCCTATAGTTGGTTTTTCAGCTCCTGTAACTCCTTTACTACCCCGCACTGGTCGTAGCCCTGGTAAATCACAATGAACACCTCAGGATATTCTCTTACCACTGGAATGTTACTCAAAGACACTTTCTTAGAAGTATCTGCTATCTGAGCAAGAAAACCCAAACTTAAATGATTTAACAATTTGAAAGCTTTTATGCAGATAATTATCATAGATGTCAGTCCTCTATCACCAGAAACTCACCAGAAACTTTAACTTTTGCATCCTCAGATGCATTTATTTTGACGTTCTTCTTATCGCAATCAATAGTGACAGTTTTCAGACATCCAATTTATGCCTAAAATCACATCGAATTCCACCAAAGGCAACACAATAAGTTGGGCATTAAAACTCTTTCCGCCAATCATAAGCTCCACCTCACATGATTGATCAACTTTAAGAAATGTGTCATTTGACATTCCTATTGACAGTATCACAAGCATCGACAAAATATTCAATCGCTTCACTAATCAACTATACAAGAATGTGATGCTTCTAAATCAAATAGTACTCGTATCGGTCTATTTTGAAGTTATATAATATCTATCATTTAAAATTATCACATTAAACATTTAAAGTTAGTTTATTAATATATATGTATAAACCCTTACTTGTTTTATGTATGCTATGACATGAATAATAAGATGCTTAAAATACAATGTTTAAAATTGTTAAAAGAAACATACCTGTGATGACACGTCCTTGGCTGCGGCTCGTTCCAAGGAGGTCTTTGACACCACCTCCACCCTCTCCTTCTTCACCCTTCTTTGCTCGTTATGCTTTGATTTGTTCAAATGAGGGATGCGACAGATTTGTTGTAATTGAAGGGATACTCTCCTCAAACCGTCAACATTGTTTTTTTATTCTTTCATCTTTTATTAAAATTTTAGTTATTACATGTTCAAGATACATGACTTTACTCAGATTAATATGTGTGTGCATGTGTGAGAGTATGCAGGTATATATATGTATCTTTATGCAAAAAAAAATCCTCCACGCAAATGATTTTCTATGTTACTGCCTTCAAAGGCAGCATCATAGTAATTGATATTGGAGTACAGCTTATCAGTAGCTTACTGATCTGCTACCATTTATTTTCTTATGAACATTAGACTTTTGATGAATACTTTATCCCAAAATAAAATATTACGACTTTTGTATAATTTTTGTTAAATCAAATCCATTGGAATTCTATGTGTTCTTGCTCAAACATTTTTATTTAATTTGAGTAACCATATGCAACTGCAGACAACAATTTAGAGTGAGATGGGTTGAAAGGGCTTATCCTATACTTAGGCGAGGCAATGCATGTATACACTTTGTAGCTACATGAGGATTTATCGATGGACATTCACTATAGATATCTACTATAAGATTTATCTTAAAGGTTGTTCTCTTGTGATACTATGCATAGATGTTATTGGCAATAAGAGTTTTATATATTACAAATGGTATTAAGCCAAATAAAAATTATTCTGGTGTAAAAAAATCTTTTTTTTTTTGTTGGCTTAATTTAATATCGTGTCATATCGTGTCAAAAGTACAGATTTCGGCTAAAATTTCTTTCTGGATATGTGTGAACTTATGTTCTTCTAAAATATAAATCTGAAGGCCTTCATTGAACTATATTATTTGGATTAACTTAACATGTATTGTCATCTATCCATTTCTAACTTCATACGCGTGGTGGTGGATCTCTTCTGACATTGTTTGGCTTTGTGCTCGTTATGGATTAAACCCAACAGGTACTATGATGTTTTCCTAAAGAATTACCAGAAGCTTGCTAAGGAACAGAAGTGGAAGCAACCTCTCTTAAGTTTGTCCATTTCTCTAGCTATTATAACTTGTTCACAAAAGTTCTCTTTTCTTACACTTCATTTCATTTTGTCATTTATGTCTTTACTCATTACATGTTTTAGGTTTATATCCGCAACACGAAGTAATTTACAGAAATTCACGATTTGTGTCAATGTCCTGATTTTCTTTAAGTGAGAAGTTTTTCTATAAAGGTAGCTTTTGGAGTTGAATCAAACCACAGAAAACTAAATTAAAACCACCCTTAAACTTTAGTTGGTCAAACATAGGAGTTCTGCAAGGGAATGTTCGAATCCCTTCCTATATTTAGATTTGTGTTAAATTTCTAATTTTTAAGAGTTTTTTGCTTTGTCCTTGGAATTGGTTGCCAAATTGCTCGGTGCCACAAAGTAATTTACAGAAATTAACGATTTGTGCAATGTTCTGATTTCCTTGAGTATGAAGTTTTGCTATAAAAGTAGCTTTTGGAGCTGAATCAAACCGCAAAAACTAAATTAAAACCACCCTTAAACTTTAGTTGGTCACATGGGGTATTGCAAGTGATTGTTCCAATCCCTTCCTTTATTTAGGTTTTTGTTTAGTTCCTATTTCTTAGGAAATTTTTGCTTTGTTCTCGGAATTAGTTGCCATATTGCTAATTTTTTTACTCTATTACTGATTTTTTTAAGGAAGTTGCTAGATTATATTTTTACTCTAGTTTGAAGCTTTCTGGATTATTTATTTATTAATTTATAAATAGAACTTACTAAGATCATTTTAATCGAGCCAATAAGGTTTTTGCGCACTAATATTCTAATACCTCTCAATTTTCTCTCTTGTTTTTGTCTACAACACCTAATTTACTTTTTGTTTCGACCTCATACATCCTGCTCTAGCCAAACTTCATCATTGTCTGTGCCGATCTTCTCTTATGGTATCTGACCATTGGAAATCAAGTATTAGCCATGAATATTTCTTTGTTTTGACGAAAAAAATAGAGAATAATCCAATGTGCCAACAAAGCCTAGTAAGGTACAGCAAAGAAGAAAAGGAGAGTTCTCTTGAAAGAAAAAAGAATTTCCTGACAAAAATCTAGCTTTACATTGGTGAATGATATTTCATTTTTTCCTATGAATCTATTATTTGGTCTCAAGATATTTCTTTTTCTTGCACAAGTTGTGTGAAGCCCTGGCTCAGCTCTTGACCGATCAATAAGATTTCTAATTGGTAGGGTACCTAAGGATTGTGCGCACCCTTGTGAGATCTAATTTTTCTTGAATACTTGGGCTGTGAAATATAATCTTTCAAATAGTGGTAATTGAGTGAGACAACCTTTCAAATTACAACACCCATGGTCACCCTTTAATCTACTTGAAAGGCTTTGGATACTGATACTTTCGAAGGAGGTTCTATTTTGGCATCGGATCACGGTTCTATCCCTAAAATGAAGGAGTGAGTGTCTTACAATGGTGAAGTTGTAGCAACCATTATTGATCAAGCGGCAATAGGGGTAGAGCAACTAGTCATCAACAAAGGGAAAATAATGCCTTGAATGTGACTGATACTTAAATTTCAAAATACCGAAAGAGCTTTAAGAAAAATGGAATAAATGACTGAACTTGGGCATCAATTATAAACTAGAGGAATGGTGGAGACCCTTCCACAAGTCATGGCAGTGGCCGTGTATTCTCTTAGAACTTTCATCAATAAATCATAATATTTTCAATTGAATATCAATTTCCAGCTCGATAATTATCTCATTTCAATGTGGATGCCAAGCTGAATTTACCTATTTTCGATAGAAACTTAGATGCAGAGATGGTGGGAAATTGGTAGGAGCTAGTAGAGTTTGTTTTTTGCCTTCTACAATATATTTCTGCACAAAAGATTTATTTGTTCGACTGAAAATGTCATCTCACAAACTTGTGGTTTAACACAAAGTTCTTAAATTATGATCTATATTGTATTTCTAGGGATTGTTTAATCAATTATTTAAAGCCTAATTTCATCTAATCGATCATGATGAAGCAAAATGGATTCATTTGTAACAACTAATGTGGAGTTATGATCAGATTGTTAGAGGGTATATTAAAGAGTTCAAGTGAAGGGCCTTCTTGCTTAGAATTTCATTACGAGCAAAAGCAACTCTCATGAACTTTATTTTACTTTTTTGTGAAGATCTTCCTATGGAATTGTTTATAGTCTTAGTAAGTATTGCAAAGGCCTCATAAATTCAGAGGTCATAATCTTATAAGAGAAGAATAAAGTTAGCTAAAGAAGCTGACAGTTCGCTTGAAGTAGTGGCAAGTTGAAGAGCAATCTGAAGGAGATAGAAGGATGAGAGGGAAGCGTTATTGCTTTCACTACCAATATTGAGGCCATTTAAAAGCAGAATGCTTGAAGCTGCATCCAAAAAAAGGCCATCCATGATGGAGGCCACGTAGAGACTCTGACCACCATCATAGAAAGAGTAGTTATCATGTTGTTAAGTGTGCAACAAGCCAATTCAAAACAGTACCTCCGAAATTCCTTTGGCCCGCTGTTTTACCACTGTGGAATTCCTTTGGCCTGTTGTTGTGCCACTTTTTGCACTGTTATTGTGCTTTATGGAGAAAATTTTTCGTGCTACGAGATGATGACATCTGGAGAATCCTGTCCCTCTGAAAATGAGCAAAATACTTGAATTCTAGGAAGTCGTTGCCGATGCCCTTTCGTCAAAGGTTATGGAACACCAAATTTCCAAAGATTGATCCAATTCTCGGCGAGCACAATGAATAACTCTCGTACAATATACATTGTTATTCGTAAATCAATTAGCGACTTGTAAAAATGAAATGTTCTCCATGACAGCTTTTCTTTGTCAACAACACGGAAAACTGATGGATACTTGAGAAGAATTGAAGGAGACACGGGCAACCCTCAATCAGAGCGTGGATACTTTGTAGGCTTCCAAGGATGTTGGCTCTTTAATAGGAGATTATAAGATGTGATCCTAGCACGCAGGAAGAAAATTCTATAGATGCTTCCGACAAAGGGTTTATCGATCATGTCGTTGAGCTGCAGTTGATCTCGAGAACATTTCTTTTATCCAGGTGCCTAAAGATCCCCCATTTGGATGAAAATGGGGGTCCAACTGAAAGTGGTTTGTAGAAGCATACTCTGAAAGTTGGGGGGATGTTGTAGTGGATTAGTGTCTGTATGTGTGTATTTGTGGCTTTTCCTAATCTCTTTTGTCATAGTGTGTTAGTATTTGTAGCTCTTCTTGTGTTTGTTGTAGTCAGTGTATTGATTTATGTTACTCTTTTTTCTGTTTGATGTGACTCTTTACACTTTATGTTATTACATATATTTTACCTCATATTACACTTGTTGAGTGTCACTCCATTTTCTTACTGCAGTGCAATCTTGAAAACTTGCATGGAGAGGTGAGAGTTACCAAAATTTTCTAGAGTTACTCAAACAATGTTAACCTGTCCCTAGTTGCATTACCGGAGATGAAAGAACTCCTAGTAAGGGATGCATAACTTATCCTAAGTTGTTAGTTGGAGCACCTGCTCGACAATCATTATCTATAATGGACGAAGTCAAATGTAATCCACTAAGGATGTAAGACCCGTCCTAGTTTGTATAACCGAAGATGCTCAATGGTGTTAACCTGTTATGGATAAAGCGAATGAAATAGACGAAGGCTTTTTGACTTATTCGAGGCTATTAGTCGAAACTTCTACTTGATGGTCATAGTCTGTTATGGAAAAAGTTGAATCAAGTCCCTCTGGAATCGATTAAGTCTAGAATGAGGTGTCAAAGTTGCTCAACATTTCTTAAGATTAAGGCATGGATCGAGATGGGCTCTACCTTTTCTTTAAAATATGGTTGTGATAATATTTTGCATTTTTTCTATTTTTGATTTTGAATTTGTTGTCCCCAAAAGGGGTATTGTCTACACAAGTCTATAAAACAGCCCATGTATCGAATTTTTAAAAGGTCAATTTTTTATTTAGTTGAGAAAGAAATCCATTGTGATGGGGGGTGTTGAGGGACTGCTCTTTGGCCGAACATCTCGGGTCAGTGGTTGATGTTAAGATGTTGACTTTAGTGTTCTCTCGATGCTGTAACAAAAAGTATCCCCCATTAAGGAGTTGTTTCATGTACTTGATATCGAAATGAAATGTAAAATGACTATCCAACCACAATCGTGCCCGAGATGTTGACGTGAACAACCTTTCGAGATTACAATAAAGATTGTCCCACGGTCTGGAACTTGTTCTTGTAAACTTGATGTCTAGATAGGTTGCACGAATACTACCCCAATGTAATCGTGCTTAGGAAGCTAACATGAACAATCTTTTGAGACTACAGCGGATGTTGCCGCCAACCTAGAAATGCATCTCGTAGACTTGATGTTTAAATGAGATGTGGGATGACTAACTTTCCAAATTTGTGCCCGGGACGTTAAGGTGAACGACCTTTTGAGACTGCAGTGAATTTTGCTTCCAAGCCTGAAACACTTTGAAAGTCATTTTTTTGTGGCTCTCATACCTTTAATAAAAACAAGAAGAGTAAGAGAGGTCTTTGATAATCTTTCACCAGTAGGTTGATGTGTATCATTGGCAAGAAAAGCAGGGGTTGGGCATCTCAAACTTTAAAGATGTGCCCAACTAGACTTCCTTTCCCCAGATGGTGCTAAAATGTTGCGTGCTGTGAGTTTCATGGTGGTATAGTAATAAATGAGCATCTTAACATTGGATGAAGATTCAACACATACAAAGATAAAAGAGAAGTAGGAGACTCCTCAATTTTTTTAAAATGAAAAATCCTGGAAAACAAAAAATCACTAGGCCTAGCCTAGTTGAAATAATTCATTATATAATTGTAAGTACATAAACTTACTCTCCTATCAAATTAAAGACGATGAAATTACCATGTTGATATACAATGATAATTCAACAATAATAGTTGTAACGGGCTGCAAAAACCATAGTCGATTACTATGAAGGCAATAATGCTCCATGAATGTTGTAGATGGTGGTTGTAGCGCTAGCTTGCCATAGAGACTGTAGTTGAAAGTCGTGATAGTAGCTGACCATGTAGGTCGTAGATGGTTGCTTCATGAGCTTTGGTTGGCCACAGAGACCATGATAGGGAGTTGCAGGAGCTGTGAGTCACTTAGGTCGTAGTGGTAAGCTACGATAACGTTTGTAGGCCATAAAAGCTGGAGTTGAGAGATGCATAAGTTGTGAGCCATGCAGGTTGTTGTTGGTCACATGAATCGTAGTGGTGACATATGTTTGTAGGTCATAGAAGCTAGAGTTAGGAGTTGTATGAGTTGTAAACCACATAATTCATAGTTGGTCACATAAGAGGTGCAATAATGTTCGTAGGCTATAGAGGTCGGAGTTTGAAGCAGTGTAAGTTGTGAGTCACGTAGGTTATAGTTGGTCACATAAGTCATAATAGTGGACAGTAATAACGCCTGTAGGCCATATTGACTGAGTTAGGTGCTGCATGAGTTGTGAACCTCATAGACTGTAGTTGGTCACATAGGCTGTGGTGGTGAGTTACAGGAACGTCAGTTGGCCAACAAAGTCATAGAGGGAAGCTGTGAGGAGAGAACTTTAGGAGTCACATAGGTTGTGGTGATGAGCTGAAATGACGTCAATAGGCCATATAGTTCGAAGTTAGGAGTAGCAATAACGTTCGTAGGCCATAGAGGTCGGAGTTTGGAGCAGTGTAAGTTGTGTGCTATGTAGGTTGTAGTTGGTCATATAAGTCAGAGCGGTGAGCTGTAATAATGTCTGTAGGTCATAGAGGTCGGAGTTTGGAGCAGTGTAAGTTGTGAGTTATGTAGATTGTAGTTGGTCGCATAAGTCATAGCGGTGAGCTGTAATAATGCCTGTAGGACATAATGGTTAGGGTTAGGTGTTGCACGAGTTGAGAAACTCATACGTTGTAGTGGGTCACATAGGCTGTGGTGGTGAGTTGCAAGAGCATCAGTTGGCTACCAAGGTCATAGAGGGAAGCTGTGAGGAGAGAACTTTAGTAGTCCAGAGAAAGTTGTATCCTGAGTATGAGACTCGTAAGTCATTGCAATCGGGAGTTATCGTCAGATCTTTAATACAGTATTATTTGTTACCTCGTATTGGAGGTAATGTTGTTATACTTAATTCAAGATACGTTGTTACATCATATTCGGAGTGTGTTGTTACATCTTCGGCTTGCTTCATTACACCGCAACGTACGTTTTGACTGTGCGAGGGGCTTCGTTGCAACGTGTGTGGTTGTTTTGCAAGGTCCACCGATGGTGACGAGCAGGGGGTGGTTGACGGCGGGGGGGGCGACGGTAGTGGGCTGCTGGTGGGAGCAGGAAGTCTTCATCGTGTTTTTGGTCTAGAACGACACTGTAACCCAACTCCTCTTGGTCCAGCTCTAGACCTTGATCTTTTCCTCTGCATGAAGGTAGTAGGGCTCTATTTATAGAGTTTAGGAGTAGCCACCCTGCAAATAAAGAGTGAATCTAAACCACTCCATCGGATGTCCCAAAGATATTCCCTCAACTGAATGACGTTTTGCAGACATGTAAGTTCCTTAACGATGTCGTATGTGAGTGATCTTGGGTTCGTTTAATTCATCTAATCGATACACTCAATTTGACTATAAGTTTTTCAAATTTGAAATTCATTTGCTCTTTCAATTAGACACTCAAAGCCTCAACCAGTGATTTTATAGTTTGATCCTAGCTTGATTGACTTGGATTTGACCATTTTTTGTGTCATTGTGTTCGTCACATCAAGCCGGTCAATGTAACTGTAAATTTGCTGAAATTGGAATTTCATGTGATTTTCAATTTTAGTTTGAATGTTTACTTGCTTAAAAAATATTTCGAGATCGTACTAATCACCTTGAGATTCATGCCAAATGATAAAATTTGTTAATGACGATGTATCAACCATGTTCCAAAATTGTTGATCGGTTGTATGAATTCTTATTTCCTTCAGTTTTTGTTATGTGCTTCTTAAAATTCAAACGTTTGTATGCATTTCTTTTTATTATTATTATTTTGTGCCAATCCTGTAAGTAAAAATCTAATCACCACCTATATTTCCCTCTGCTTTAAATCACAGAACTTGATTAATAATATATTATTGGTTGCAGTCGCTCTTGCTTACTCTCCCCAAATCATTGTTGAAAATGTGATTCCAGTGACTGACACTGATGTTCCTGTGGATGCTCTCGTCTCACCATCAGGTGTTATTTGGATTTCTCCTGCATCATTAAAGGACATGTGATTCACTCTTCACTTGATAAGTGGCATTAATCAATTATATTTCCCCAGCTATATGGTATGATATGCTACATAATATCATATATTGGTGAGAGCTTTACTCATTAAGTACATTCTCTTCAAATGCAGTTCTGTCTAAACCTTCTTATCTTCTGCCCCAATTCAGATATTCTCCTTACGCTTCAGATCTCTGTTTCCGCTGAACTGCTGTTGAAATATGGTAATTTGTTATTGCACAATTTAAATTTTTCATTAATTTCTTTTGATGAATTGATTTCAAGTTCTATTTGTTTGATTGTATATAAATCAAATATATTCATTTTTTAATAATTTTGTTATGATATATTACAAATGGATTGAAATATTGTTTGGCCACAAGTGAGAATGCTGGCGATAGGAATCACGAGTGAGTGGATTTAAAAAAAAGTTCAAATCTTGGTGATGATTAAGTTTGGTTTAATCTTGTTTAGGAATGACATTTCAATCCAAAGCAAATCGGATCAGTTGCTAAGAAGGATATTCATCCTTTGTTGATAGTAGGTGGTAGATGTTGACAATCAAAGCAATTAAAATGTTTAGTGTGGTATTTTCAATCAAATTGATATCCTAAATCAGAAATTTTGAATTGCTTCCTCATTAAATAATAATAATAACAAAATCATCATCATCATCATCATTGGACTAGGGTTGGATTGTGTTGCAGGATAACATATTGTTTGGGAATGTATCCTTTGATGTATTCATATAATATAAAACTACATTGATTGAATAGGGTAAACATATAGGTTAGAATCAAATAAGTTTTGGGCAATATTTCATCTTGATTCAATTATGGATTAAGTATGGTTTAAATAAAATTCATGCAAGATTCAAATTAGTTTTGAAAATAGTCCAAATCTTGGAATAGGATTTGAACAATAGTCAAACATAATTCCATCAAGGTTCAAATAAAGCTCGAGCTTGATTCAAGCATGATTTACCTATGACATATAATGGATTGCATTTCAATAGACTTCAACATCTTACAAGGTTGATTGTAAGACATATACCATAGTTATTACACAACAGATCATAAGATAAATAAAGCACAGTGACAATTAATATTTATAACACAACAAAATGCCATATAATATTTATGTAGCAATAACGAACATTCCAATTTTATTGAAGTGAAACAATAAATCTTATAATTGAGTGTCATACATTACAAATCTATTCTGCAGAGTGCTATACAAATGAAATGAAATAATAATGTTTATAAAATAATTCAATCACATTTGAATAGAATCATATACCAATATTATTATGAAATAAGCCTCTATACATAGATAATCCCTATAGAAGTATATACGATTGGATGTAACATTCAAAAAATAAAAATAAAAAATTTTCAGTTAGGTGTATTATTTGTTATCATATACACATCATAATCTCCACTAAAAATGCAGTAGAATACTCTCATTAAGTTATATATGACAACATGTCAGATAAATTTTGTTAAAATATCAAATGGTATTACTTTGTTATAGATTTGAGGACCTCATCTTTGGTGGCCATCTTTTACTAAGGAGATTTAGCGGAGATAAGAAATTGTGGTCTATTGTCAAATGACTCTAGCATCGTAAGTAACCTAAAGAAACACAAATCAAAGTCATTGTTGTCTACATGGCTTGCAAGAAGATGTAAAAGAAGTTATGAAAATAGAACTAGAGGGGTAGAAAATTTGACTTGATTGTGCTCGAACCACCTTGACTTGAACTTAAGCTTTAATGAATTAAATTTGAGTTAAAGCCTAAGCATAATTCTATGAGATTGAGTTGGCTCATGAGCATGCTCATTTATTATTAAAGAGAAAAAATGATTTTGACTAAAGTAATTATTCTATTAAAATAATAAAAAAATGATCAGTTAATAGTGAATTAACGAGAAATCATTTTTTATGAGAAAATAAAATATAATTTTAAAATACTTTTAAGTTATATTTAAAATCATAAAATTTAATATATTTTTATTGTGTTTAATATTTAATTTTATTGGAGTCTAAAGGCCTTCATTAGAGTAGAACTAAAACTGAATACATAGAATGTAATCTTAGTAGTTGTAGCTCTACAAACATAAGTGTAACTTTGGGTGATCAAATTATTAAAAGGTGTGAACGATTTAGATATCTCGGGTCTGTTCGAAGTGATGGTGATATAGATGAGGATGTTAATAGTAGAATTCAAGTTGGTTGGTTGAAGTGGAGGAATTCTTCGGACCTTCTGTGTGATAGAAAAGTTCCGCTTAGATTGAAAGGAGAATTTTATAAGATGGTGGTGAGACCTGTAATCATCTATGGTGTTGAATCAACCCTTTGAAAGAGAGTATAATACTAAGTTAAGTGTTTCCGAGATGAGAATGATTAGGTGGGTAAGTTGTTTTACACTTGGAGACAAAATGAGAAATGAATATATCTGTGATAGTGTTGGTGTAGCTCCCGTGACAAACAAAATTAGAGAGAGTCGCCTTAGATGGTTTGGTCGCATTAAACGTCGACCATTTGATGATCCTATCAGGAGAGTAGATGTTTTAGATTCGACTTATGTTAATAAAGACAATGGTAGATCTAGGAAGACTTAGGCTTGTTGTATACAAAATGATATTAATTTATTAGAACTAAATGAAAATATGACCCTAAATAGGATGCAATGGAGAAAAAATTCATGTAGCCGACCCCACAGTGGGATTAAGGTTTTTTTGTTGTTGTTGTTGTGCTTAATATTAATATTATAATTTTTTAAATAAGCTGGCTTGTGAGCTACAAGTCAAGTTAGTTTTTTGCTCAAACTTGGCTTTAGCTTATCGAGCTTAACTACAATTTAATTATCGAGTTGAGCCTATGCTAAGTCATGTGTAAGTTTGGCTCAGCCATACCCTTATATACATTGCCTTGGTCATTGCAAACAACGACTAATCACATATTATTGAATGAATTTTATTCAGGTTCAATGAAAAATATATGATTTTTATATCAACCCATAAATTCAAGCACTTATACGCTTTAATGATGTACATGATAGCCTCTTTAGGGTACTTGAAGGAGTCACTTTTATTAAGCTTGTTACAAATGAATATTTTTGATATACAATACTGATTTATATGAGGTCAAATTTGCTCTTTTTTGAAAATATAAAAGCATAGTATAATGTAAAATAAAAATTAAAGTTAGTATAAAAATTATTCAAGCACTCAAACTTATTATTTTGAATTTTTTTACCATACTATTGTTGACCTTAATTTTGGTCAACTAACTCAAAGTCGACTTAACACACAAATGCCTTGCTCTTTGACTGGTGTGGTCACTTCTAGTCAAGGTGTATCCACGCCGAGAAGTTTTTGGGCGTGGTCATGCCTGATGTTGGCGTGATTACATCTTGTGCTACGTCAGTGTTTCATGGTTTTCTTCCCAAATCTGACAACAAATCAACACGTCGGTTCGCCGGTGGAGATCTGTGGGAGCTCCAACTGTCGAAATGATATTGATAATTGATCCATTACCTTAATCGACAGTCATGGAGGACTCTGCTACTGCCCTTCCGATTTATAAATAAGCACCTCATTCGACACAAAGGAGCACTTGGACTTTGAGATGACCTTCAGCCTTCAGCGTAGAGAAGGAACACTTGGACTTTAAGACTAATCTTCAGTTTTCAGCGTAGAGAAGAGTACGTTGGAAGAAGAAGAAGAGTCTAAGCCACCCCCCCCCCCCGGGGGGTGGCCCCCCCCTCCCTGAGCAGGCCTCCTCTCCGGTAAACCCCTTCTTTTATTTTTGTTTTTTTTTTTTAATTTAACTTAAGTTTGAATTAATTTTAAGTAATTTAGGTTTAAGTTAACCAAAATCAATAGCCTTGGATTATGCTTAGGTTTGGGTCCGACCCAAGTTGACCCGAACCCAACCTAACCCTAATCCTAGCCATAGTTTAACTGGATCTGACCTGAACCTTAACAAGACCTTGCTCGACCCAAGTCCAACTCAGGTCAACCCAGACCCGACGCAGGTCCAACCCTTGTCAACCTAGGTCAACTCAAGTCCAATCTAGGTCCAACCTACATCAACCCTGATCCAACCCAAGCCAACCCAGGTCTAACCTAAATCAGCTTAGGTCAACCCAGGTTCAACCTAGGCTCGGATCCAACTTAGATTAATCCAAGCTTAACCTTGGTCAACACAGGTTCAACCTGGGTCCACCCCAAGTCCAACTTAGGTCAATCCAGGTCAACCTAGGTTCAAACCAACCGACCCCACATCATACCCAAGCTCAATCTCGAGCCGACCCCAGCTAAACGCTAGATGACCTCAGTTCATTCCGAGCCCAAGTCTAATCCAAGCTAATGTCGGGTATCGTATGTCATGTTATTTTATATATGTTATTTAATGTTTATTTGCATGTCTTTCATTTCATGTGTAGTTTCATGAACAAAAAAAAAACAATCAAAAATGCATAAAACAAAAAGGAGGAAGAGAACCTCTCATAATATGGTTCTCTCCACAAAAACCCAAATTTTAAAAGCAAAACTAAAATGAAGAACTTAGGAAAATCTTGATTCTTCACCACGACTCACAAACTTAGGAACTGAAAGAAATCATGAACTAAATATTGAACCCTGAAATGGCATCTAAAATACACCAATAGAAAAAATAAAAGCCAAACCTAGGCAGATTCGACACAAACCCTAGGGTTAGCCAACTTGGACACTAGAATTGAGGATCATACACCTACACTAAGTTAGTCTAAGTATAGAAACTTAAGTTAGTCTAACATGGGACTAGGACATATAAAAATAACAATCTATCCTCTGAGACTAAAAGGAATACCGTAACATGATATAACTCATGGTTACTGACGAAGGTATTTCAAACTGCCTCAAAACTATGAAATTTTTCACATCCCATGATCATAGCACTCTAGGAGGGCTTCTGGTTGTGAGATTGGATATAGTTGAAGGATATCAATGTGCCTGGGAGGACGAAAAGCCATCAGCATCCTGAACCTGGGACATTATTCTCAAAGTATATGTTAGTCTACCTATTAGGATCCTTTATAGAGTCTAGCTTTTTGTTTGCATCTAGAAAACCCTCTTACCCGACTTTATCAGTTAAATCATTCTTTGGGTAAACCTCCTTTCCTGGAAATTCTTCCATTTTGCATCCTTCCTTCACCAACACTTTAATGTTGAAAGTCTAATTTGAATAGACTAAATCATTTTATTAATTGAGAGTTCACTTTAAGCTCATAGCTCTAGGGATGTAATTATCTATGAGAGCATGTCTTTATAGTGAACAAGACCCTACAATAAAATAAACCTTATCTTACAGCCGTAAGGTAAAGGAAAAAACCATGGTTCTGCAGACTTATGAAGGACTTCATTATTCAGGTGGTCATGCCTATTTTAAGGTAGTATTTCCTTCCCCAGAAGGTATATTATTCCTCAAATATCGTGCTCAGTCACCCAGATAGAAGTCTTCCGAAACTTTATGGATTGTGACGACACCAAAATCTCCCACTAAGGCTTTTTTCTAGTGACTCTGTTGGGGAATGTTCCTCTCTCCATCTTTTATGATTATTTATGTTATTATTTACCTTTAGTGTATGTATCCCTTACAAATTCAAATTGCTTATCCTCCCGTTTAACTTTTCATTTTGGAATGGGTTCATCAAGCTTACATGATTTTTAGGTTTCATCCCGTATCCTTAATTTTCATGTTTTCTGACTTCTTATTTAAGCCTTATTTATTGAGTAGGGCATTAGGGACATGCTCTATCATCAATTATCTTTGGTGAAATTTTTTTCAAATTAAATCTGGTTTCAATTTCATAAAAAACCTCAAAGATTCTATAGTCAAATCTTTATTGATATATTTTATGTATCCCATTACAAGAAAGATATTTCCTAACTCATATTCTCTCATGGAAATGGAAGTAATCTGGCATTTGATCTAAAGCCATTTGAATGGCAGGTCCCCAATCAAGTTCGTGGTTGGCGTGAATGGTTTGAACTTTTCTATAGTAGACCCTTGAGTCACCGATAACAAGCATCTTTCATTACATTTTGACATCAAATTAGAAGAAAAATTTTCATCATTGAAAAAGAAAGCTATTGAGACAACACTATCATTCTTTTGTATTCTAAAAAGATCCCATCTCTGTTCCTGGTAGAGAAAGTCTATAAAAGAGGTTCTTACTAGTTTGTAGGCTGCAAAGGCAAACATTTGATGCCTTTGATCAAAGGGCGCTACCTAAAGAGATGTTGTGTGTCCAAGAAAAATATATCTAAACTCTATAGGGATTGAATTGTTGTAGAATCTTTGAAACCTTAAATGAAAATTCAAATTGTTAATCTGTGGTCTCATTATGTTGAATATACTCCAACCATATTCAGGTGCAATCTTAAATCCTACCATCATTTACAAATTCATAAATCTAAAAAAATAATATAATAAATAAATAAATAAATAAAATTAATACATTCCACTGAGTTAAATCAATCACTAAATCTTTAAAGAAAATTTGGGTTGTCAGATAAAATTGAACTCAAATAAACTTTAAAATCTCAAACATCAATTTTCTTACAATCCAATCAAAATTAAAATCAAAATCATTGAAATGAAGACTAGGCTTGAAACTTGAAATAAAAACAAAACATCAAAACTTTCAAACTTTTCAATCTTTAGGACTGTCCTTTAACTGTTTTGATTATTATTGGGTAAGGTGTAATTTTTCTCAGGGTATCTTATACCTAACACAACTAGAACTCATTGAATAAAATACCTAAAACTTTCAGACATAACCAAAACTAAAAAAAGAGAAAAGTTCTTCAGTCATTAGGACTTTATACTTGAACTATTATGTTGTTATTGGGCAAGGGGTAATGTCTCCTAGGATGTCCTATACCCAATACAACTAGACAACTCAAAAAACTCATTAACAAAATAATCAACTTTAAAAAAAATAAAATAAAATTTTCAAAAAAAATAATTTACTATCAAATAAAACGATCACATTCTCAAAAAAAAACTTCCAACCAAAGATTTTCAAAATCAAACATCAATCAAATCATTCTCTTTTAGGTTTGGTGTAATGTCCTCTCAGGTTGTCTTTCCCATTTGGTTATCTCTCAAGTTTGATGTAAGTCTCCATGTTTTCGAACTTGATTTATGTTGATCTCATTTTTTAGAATGTCTAGTTTCTTCTCTCTATAAGTCTATGATCTAGTCATATGACTTTCTTGTTGACTATCTTAGAGGACTAGTAGTGAAATTCTCCTACATAAAAAATTCTAAACACTTCTTGACTCTTCTTGTGAAGTTCCACATGAGTGGTCACAAGCCCCTAAATCTCCCTTGGAATGGTTAAGACCAACATATGAAGATCCAAGAGTGAGTTCCAATAGGATCAGTCTTAGGACAACCTCGGGTGGCTTGGTCTTGGTCATAACCTCACATACACACTCAAACCCTAAAACCACTTACACCTAACCTACCTCCTGGTTCTTTCTGGAGACTCATATGGGTGGCCACAAGCCCTTAGTCTTTGACTAGGGTGGCTAGGACCAACATGTGGAGGACCTAAAATGAACTTCCCCATGGGCCCGGTTGACCGGTCACTTTCACAGTGCATGATTTGCATGTGCATGAGTCTGACTGCTTGCTTGCATGGTGCACTGTACCCCGTATGTGTCTGTCATTTGCATGTGTTCGGTCATTATTGGGGCAAGATGTAATTCTCTCCAGTGGCATCCTATACCCTAGGCAACCGAGCACAACATCCCTTGTGTTGTATACTTTGCATAACATCTCGCATAGTCTTCATCGCTTGCTTGGTTTGCACTTCGATTGTCCCTTCACAGACATATTTCGGGTCACTGCCTCACTGCATACCTATTCCTCGGGTGACTGCCTCTACGTCACACCCAGTCGTTGGGCCCGTCTCCTCAACACGACTATCTTTATGAGTTACTGCCTTCACCACATACTTTTTGTCACCACTTATGTCCATTGACTGTATGCATTTTCATTTGCATGCATGCTTGAATAGAGAGCCAAGCTTGATAGGAGAGTGACTCTCGTGTCGGTCGCGATGCCTTAACGAGCATTGCTTGCTGGGTTTAGCCCGACAAACAATGCGAGTTAACTCATGAGGAGTGATATGGGTATGATTGTGCTAAAGATCCAATGAATCTAACTCGTGTCATATTGCATGTTACGGGCTCACATTTAATGGTCCCTTATTTTAAAACTTAAAAAAATAAAAAAAATATTTATTATATATTACTACATCCACCATAATTTTAAAATTACGCATGTAGCAAGAAATGTCGTATATAAGGCAAACTCCTCTTTCAAAATCCACATTGGGTGTCACTCTTTAGATCCCTTGGATCTTTAGGGTGGGGCCGGCAAGGCAACCCCGCCAAAGTCATACTTTACCCGGAGAGCACCCTTCACTTAGATGTTGTTTAAGACACTTTATCGTTAGATGGTGTGTTAGGCTAGGATATAGGATGTTAGGTGGTCCTTTTGGATGCCTTCGGCTATTATTGGGTGATGTGTTTTTGTTGTTGCGCTAGCCATGCATCATCTTTTTTTATGCTTTTTTGGTGTGTCTGCATGCTGTACATGCATAGTAGTGTGTTAGGGTGCCTACTTATATGCACACACACGTGTACTGCTATGGGAGAGCATGTAATGATTTCTGACTATTTTGTTTGCAGGTGTTATTTAACTCCCCCACTTATAAGACACGGTTCATTATATGTGTTGCATAGCTTTCCCCGCTAACACTTGTTTTCATGCAGATCGAGTCCTTTTTTATTACTTTTCCTATGTACTTTTTAGAGTCCTAGGAGAGTCCTAAAACAGGAATAAGATATGAGCATGGGTTCCGAGAAGTTTAGTACGGGAACCGCGTGGAGGGGACCAGAAACAGATGCTCGTGACCCGTATCTTAATTTTGCATTTGATATTGATGTATAGAATTATGATCGGACATGTATAAGCAAAGTTCGGCCGCTCTTTTTCTTTTCTGAAATATGTTGTCGATCCAGCGGCACTGACGTGTTTATTATTTTGTTTGATACTTTTATTTTCTACATTTGCATTTACATGTCTGCATGCTTGGATTGTTTTTCATTATTTATTTCTGTGCATCTGAGATTTCACGAAAAATATAATTTATGCTGATTAAGGACCCACACAGAATAACCTCTCTTTGATAACCTATTTTCCCAGTTCTACGATAATACGAGCGAAACATCTTTTATCGAGATTATGTTTGGGTATTCCCCAAAATGTAATTAATTAAGTGAGATATGTCCTCTTGAGAGTGTTCTTGACCCCTAACAGGCATCTACCTGACTCTCTGGTTATGAGTAGCCTACGTTGGTATTCTTTCGTGGATATTGATCCAAGGTGCCTCCACCGACCTTGTTTGGGCGGGCATACTTAACATATCATTGTGAGGTTTATCGCACGCAGGCTCTCTACGTTTTGTTTTTTTCTCTTGTCTGTCATATTCGTCATATATCCATCTTTCATCTTCTTCGGACCATTCATATGACCATGAAGAGAGATTTATTCGGAAAAGGGAAGTATACAACGATCGATAGAATTGACGATTCTTTAAAAAATAAAAATAAAAACATAATGGAAACAAATTTGGCGACTCCTTCAAAAATAAAAGTGAGAAAAAAACATGACGGGATCAAAGAGCATTTTAACTTTGACACTTGTCTTCAGCCTTCAACACAGAGAAGGAGAACTTGGACTTTGTGACTGTTCTTCAACCTTCAGCATAGAGAAGATTCACTTGGATTTCAAGTCTGGTCTTCAGTTTTCAGTTTAGAGAAGGGTACATATGAAGAAGAAGAGTCTGAGCCTCCTCCTCCTCTGTCGAACTACTATGGCTTGCCTCCTCTTCGGTAACCCCTCTTCTTTTATGTTTTTCTCCTTAAGTTAACTTGAGTTTGAATTAATTTTAAGTAATTTAGGTTTAATCAATGGCCTTAGACTAGGCTTGGGTTTGAGTTCGACCTAGGTCGACTCGAGCCCAGACTAAACCTAACCCTAACCCGATCTGTAGACTAACCAGATCTAACTCGAACCATAACCCGACTTGGCCCAACCTAGGTCCAAACCTTTTCAACAATAGAATTTGTTATGGCATCCAATTTTTGCTATGTATGTATGTATGTATATATATATATATATATATATATATATATATATATATATATATATATATTCTCTCTCTTTGCTCCTCAACTCTTCTATAATGGCAAAAATGTTCAACCATTTATAAGAGGGCAAGGACTGGTTGACAATCCAGTGTACTTTCAGTATCATTTTTGCTTTCTCCATTAAATATTCGGCCTTATACATTAGCATTTAGAAGTTAATGATCTGTTACATAAATAAATGATTTGCTTAATTTAAGATTTTTCTACACACTTGCATCTTTATCCATCAGTAAAGAAATCCTTACTTATGAGCGGCTTATTGCTCTTCAAAATATACTTTGTACTCCTTTCCCAAAGAAGCTAAGCAGATCTCCTCTCCAACTTCTGGATGGCTTCATAAGCCTGGTACTATAATAATACGGTGAATTTTGTTCACAGAGTTTTAGGCTGAGGTTTTTCTCTTTGAGGCAGTGGCCTTATAATACATCATGTCTCTCATCAACCCTGGTAATGAGAAAAGCTTTATCAACTTTAATCAATCTAAGGGGGTGTTCGGTACGATACTTTCAATAGGAGGATTTTAGTTATATTTAATGTTGATCTAGCCAGACATCGATACAAACTCAATTTCTTCTTTTATCTATAGAAACTATTCAATCGAATGAACATGACTTGTATGAAAATCTCAATATAAAGAAGTGCTGATTTTGAGTTTCTTCAATGATGCGAGTCTCTTGTGGGATCAATTAAAGCTAACAAAAGTAACTTAAAATTGATTTTCTCTTATTTCTTGAATGCTTTTGTAAAAAAAATTTAAGCTTAAAATGAGACATTGATGCAATAACCATAAACTTAGATAATAGAGGTGGCCTAATATTATATCGTACATTAAGTTAGTTTCTACTATTATGAATTGGATCAGAAAACTAATTGTAGTGATGATTCACCTAAGGTAATTGGAAGGATGATTATGCCAGAATTTTTTCAGTCTGTTCTCCAAAATCCTAAACATCATAAGAATAAAATTGAGTCATAACATGGATTAATCTAGAATTCATTGAAGCAGACTAATATAAAATATAATTTATTAGCTATGATGATAATATAATCACTGTGTGGATAATGTATCCTCAAGAATTAGAGTTGCCAAACATAATTTGATTTTTTGGGCACATCTTCTTTTGTATGACTATAGATAAATTGTGCCAAAGTTTTTATAATAGCATTAAAGGGTTTGATGATTGATATGTTGAAGTTATTATAATCTCTTTTAGGACAAGAATGATTACTCTTAGATTTCTCTTATACATGATAGCCAAGTGTTATTTGTGAATAAAAAATTTAATTTGTTTTTAAAAGAAAATATCATTCTATTGAATGCCATCTTTGATGTTGTAATTAAAATATCAAGATTTAAAGTATGATTTTTTTTAATGGCATTGAACACCTTGATATTCATTTTTCTAGATACTATGAGAATGTTAGCTCTAGATATATTATGTCATTGTCAAGGCTATTGAATTTAATGGAAGGGCGCGTCTTATTTCCAACTACTCATGTTTTCTCTTTTTTTATTTATTAGGGAGACTTATTGGTTTCTTATTATGTGCTATTATGTTTATTTAAAAGTTATCTAAATTTCATTCAATAGGTGTTGATGGCTTCATTAACAATAATTTGCATTTTCACTTAATAAATAAGACCAACAAAAGAGCGGACCATCTCTTTCATTAATGATTATTAAAGAGATTTATGACGATGACCCCTAAGAAAAATATCTCACAAATCTCAAGATTTATTCTCAGGTATTATTGAGCTTTCGAAGAAAATCTTTAAAATGCCCTTGAAGGGTCTCTCCTTTTTTTTTCTTTTTTTGTTAAATTTTTATTTAGAACATAGGAGTTCATATTGTTCGTGGGCTCATGCAATCTAAGAGAGACTTTATTTGGGATAAGTATTGAAGAAAAATAAAATGGAGCGAAAGTCTCCTCTTCAACACTTAGTTCTTACTTTCGATAAGAGACGGGACTAAAGAGAAGATGATGAGAGTGAATCCTTTTCCAAAAGTATAGGATGCCTAAATTTATTTCTCTCCTCCTACCCTCCTATCCTTGAGAAAAATGGAATAACAAAACTTAGATTTTACAATATTAGGCATCTCCATAATGCTCTAGCGAGAGGATAGAGATATGGATGTAGTGCAGCTTTTAAATAGATTTGGATGCATGTTTGTCCTTGAGTGATGTCCTTTAATTCGGCGATTTGCTAATCCCGAGAAATAGTTATAAAGAGCTTGGCATGTAACTTCAAAAAATGAGCTTGACGAGTCATTTTGACAAATGAGTTTGGTGGGTCACTTCGAAAAGCGAGCTCGACAAATTACCATGGCAAGTGAACTTGGCATCGATTGTGACCTGGCACCTTTAAAAGGGCGGGCCTTCTGGTCCCATGAAATTTGTTAAAGCATGCATTCTCCTATGGGAATCACATATAAGTATACATTTCGTAAATTTTAAAAAGATGTGATTGCTTCTTAATAATTCCTTAATTTTAATTAAATCATTCAAATAAAAGTATGAGAAGGTTTTTAAATAAATCCTTTAAAGAAAAACTTGACAAGGTTAGTGAATGAGTTAATAGTCTTATCATAGAAGGATAAGCTTAAGTGCAGGCTTAATCCTTACAAATGATAGTCCTAAAAAAGCACTTCTTAAGTTTGTTTAATGTGAATGATAATCTTATAAGAATCAACATATTTATAAGAATCAAAAGGTCCTTCATAAAAATCAATAACATAAGTTTTATCTGATTAGAGTGACATGTTGAAGAATTACATTAGAAAGGGTTTAAAACTCTTGAAAAATTATAATCACCTGAAGGAAAATTCTTCTTAAAGAGGACATTAGAATTCGTCTTTATGACATTATGGATTGGAGAAGATGAACAGATGTTGTCTATTCTATTTAAATAAAATAAGTGGCTTGGATCATTTTCTATTGGTGTGTTGGTGTTTGAGACTCGACAGCGGATCCAGCAATCAATCAGGGGTGACCGACCGCGAGGTGACACGTAGAAGGCAGCGACCATGGGAAGCTTAAGTGCAGGCTTAATCCTTAGAAATTGTAGTCCTAAAAGAACACATCTTAAGTTTGTTTAATGTGAATGATAATCTTGTAATAATCAACATATTTATAAGAATCAAAAGGCCTATCATAAAAATCAATAACATAAAACTTTTATTTGATTAGAATTGATTGTTGAAGAATTACGTTAGAAAGGGGTGAAAATTCCTGAAAATTTATAATTACTTGAAGGAAAATTCTTCTTAAATAGGACATTAAGGATCGTCTTTATGACAATAACGGAGGGGGGGTCGCGGCGGATTTAGAAGGGGTGGTATTAATAAATTGAGATAAAGTGAAGATTGTAGCAAGGTTACAGGCTATTTGGGCAACATGAGAAGGATAAATTGAATTGATATGATGAAATTTTGATAAGATTATGGTGAAAGATAAATTTCGACATGATAATAAGGAGACCCTACGTTGGTGCTCTTGAATTGGAGAAAAATTTGCGTATGTAAGACGTTTGCAGAGCTGCGTACATCGGAGGTTATTCAGAGTAACATTTCTGTAACCTACCTATAACCCCCTAATACCCTCTGAATAACCTATGATGTACGCAGCTCTGCAAACGTCTTATGTACGCAATTTTTTTCCTTAAATTGATACTCGTCTTGTTATTAATTTCGTCATTGGCAAACTCTATTATATTCTAATGATATTCTCTCTAAATTAGCATCTTCTAAATTCTAGAGATTTAAGCTAGCTATTGCTTAATCCTATAAATACTATACTC